AAAAAAAACCATCTCAAGAATAAGTTTGAGACATTGAATACACTAATGATTGAAGAACAGATGAACTGTGGGATGACATCAAGGATATCTCCTTGAAGAAAACCAGCACTATTAGCCTGGCAAAAATCCTTTCACTCTTAAAAGTGTTCTTGCAAAACTCTTCATGTCCTTTGTTTTAAAGCATGCTTCATAGTGTTTCCAGAAATCCTGATGATTTTTATAAAGACCCATTCTTACTATACTTATTCCATAATGCCAAATTCTATCCTTATTTCCAGAAGTAGGGAGCCTCATACTTCCTTCCTCTTAAGGAACTTGAACTGCTATCAGGTCCTTCTCATTATCATCAATTTCAACACATGGCAACCCTCCAACAGGCTTCCATGGTTATAAACCTTTACAATCCAAAACCTCTGTAAAAAAAAATAAAAATAAAAAAATTATAAATTAAAAAAAAAAAAGGAGGAGGCTACTACATTTTTCTCCACAGAAAAATGGTAGACTTGAATCGCAGCACAACAAATAATGCACTATGCCACTCAAGTTACTTAAAGTAGGTTAAAATGTTTTTTTTTCTGAATTGGTGTGAGTGACCATACAATAGTTTTAAAGTGTGGAGAAACAAAGCAAAATAGCAACATGATGTTTTAAGTTCCTCAGAAAATGTTGTGTAAAAACATATAATCAAACTACCTCTAGGACCTGAATTAATATTGTCAGGAACTAAGATTCTTCATAAAACATATTATTCAGAATGCCTGGGATCAGAAAATCAAGCAAACCAACCAACAAAACACAACCTTATTTATTCCATTTTCTGGGAAAAAGAAAAAAGATGTTTGTGTTTTCCAAACTACACAAGGGCATTTGACTGTGTAGATTATAAAAACTTATGCATAGCATTGAGATGAATGGGAATGCCAGAATATTTAATAGTGCTCATTCCAAAAAAGTCTTAGACCAAAAGACAGCTATGAAACACAACACAGGCACACAGCATGATTTATTGCTATTGTAAGGTACCAATGAGTTGAGTATGACTCATGGTGAATTTATGAACAACAGATCTGAATCCTGTCCTATCCTGTGCCACCCTCACACTTCCTGACACACTAGAACCCCCTATGGGGGACTGTGCCAATCCATCTGGTTAAGGGTCTTCCTCTCATTGGCTGACCCTGTGCCTTTCTGAACATCATGTCCCTCTCCAAGGAAGAACCTCTCTAAGCAACATGCCTGAAGCATCACATTTGCCTCCAAAAAGCAAAGTTGCCTCCTCTGGCTCCACTTTCTCCAAGACATATTTGTTTGTTCTTTTGGGATATTCAGTGCTCTTCTCCAACACCACCGCTCAAAGATATCAATTCTTCTTTCAACCCTACTCATTGTCCAACTCTCAGACACATAGCAAGTGATCAGTAAGACTATGGCCTAAATCAGATGCACCTTAGTCCTCAAACTGACGTTTTTACTTCTCAATAATTTGAAGAGGTTTCTAGACTTTTCCAGTGCAACACATTTCCTGATTTATTGACTGCTGGTACCAGTGGTGTTGACTGTAGATCCAAGTAAAATGAAGTTGTTGACAGTTTCAATCTTTTTTCCCATCTATCACGATGTTGCTTATCAGTCCAGTATTTTTGGCATTGTGATGCAATCCATATTGAAGGCTGCTTTGGTTTACAGCATGGTTTAAATTAGGATTATGTATCTGTCAGGGTTGTGTTCTTTAATTATATTAATTCAAATGTAGGGAAAGCAAATAATGTGACAAAATGGACTAAATGAAGAATATGTGACATTAGGAATGAAAGGAGGCTCATCAACAACCTGCAATATACAGATGACACAGCCCTGCTTACAGAAAACAATGAAGACTTGAAGCACTTATTAATGAAACCCCAGGAGTATAGTCTTGAGGATGGATTGTATCTCAACACAAAGAAAACTGAAATCTTCACAACTGGTCCAATAAACAACATTACAATAAATGGAGAAAAGACTGACTTTGTCAATTATTTCATTTTACATAAAAACCCTTGGAAGCAGGAAGCAAGAAATCAAACTACATACGGCAATGAGAAAACCTGCTATCAAGAAGCTCTTTAAAATGCTAAAGACACTCTAAAAGCTAAAGTATGTCAGACTCAAGCCAGGGCATTTTTAATTGCTTCATATGCATGTGAAAGTTGGATAATGAAGAAAGAAAAGTAAAGAAGATTTGATTTGTGGTATTGGCAAAGAATACTGAATATACCATGGACTGCCAAAAAAAAAAGTTTTGAAAGAAATGCAGCCAGAGTGCTTCTTACAAGCAAGGGGGAGTATGTGAGAGAGATATTTGTCTCACAAACTTTCATGCTTTCATGGGAGGTCAAGTCCCTAACAAAAGCTTTTATGCCTGGTGAAGTATAGGGCCAGAGAAGGAATGAAAGACCCTTAATGAGATGGGCTGACACAATTACTCCAAGAAAGGGCTTGAGCACAGTTAAGGATGGTGCAGATTTAGACAGGTTTTGTTCTGTAGTATGTCAGAAGGGGAGCTTACTCACCAGCATCTAAAAACACTTACAGTTAATTTTTTAATATAATTATGCTAATTCCTCTTAAGAACATAACTATTTAATATAATAACTTTTATAACATGAAAATTAGTTTTTAAAAAACACATAAAAATAATAGACTTTCATTCTTTGGTACTCATTTCTTAAAGACCCGAAAATGCTACCTCGTCTTTGAGAGAACTATCTTCCTTCATGGTGGTGGCATGCTGACCCCACTGTGTTTGCAATAAATTTGAATGTGGTGGTTGTTCAGATCTGTAAATCAGAAAGAAGAAACACAATATAAATTTGTTGTATTTGGTTACAATGAGTTAAACATATTTTGAAAAAGTGGCATAGCAGTTGACCAAAGACAGTTTAGGCACGTATATCTGTAATCTAAAATATTCCGAATAATGGAGTTTTCCAGGGGCCAACTACATTTTTTTAAAAAAGTTAATTTTAAAATAATTAAAGATTCACAAGAAGTTAGGGGAAAAAATAGTATAAATAGATCTTGTATGCCCTTCCCCGATTTTCACTGGTAACAAAACTATAGTACATTATTAAAACCAGAACTTAACATTGATATATTTAATGTAAACTATCACTCTCACTTGCATGTCACCAGTTTTTACACACATTCATCTGTGTGTATGTATGTGTAGTCTCATTCCATTTAACACGTAATCAGTTATCCTAAGGCAACAGAATCAATGGTTAAAGCTAGATGTTAGCCAGTTCTATTAAATTTTTTATTCATTTTTATTTTTATATATGTTTTATAAAGATAGGAGGAGTATGGTCATTCCCCTCCTGTGTGATCTACTGCCTCTGAAAATCCACTGGAGGGTCATCCATGGATTGGTGCAACTTGATTATATACAACACCATCACAGATCAAAAATTATATCATTGATATTTTAGTGCTTTATCAATTTAATATTGTTAAATAATTTCTCTCTTTTTATAAAACATGCATTACCAAGACTATTGGAATTTGTTGGACACCAGCAAGGCAAGTTATCTCATCTTGGAGGCTTACCTGTACCTTATGTCAACCATGTCAGCATCATTCTTCATGTATTATGTGTGACTTAAAAACAAGCAAAATATAAACTTAACAGTAATAAATGCTGTTTGGATGTATGTAAAATCTAATCCTTGTTTAAGTAATAACTAGAGGTTTCTGGTGGGAGAGTAGCAAGGGCTTGTGCTGCCTACCCAAAGGCAGGTAGTCTGAATAGCTGCTCCACTGAAGAAAAATGGGCAATCATCTCCTGTGCAAATTAAAGCCTCTGAAAACCTGCTGGAGGGTTGGCAATGAGTCAGTTCAACTGACGGCAATAAACAACAACATAAGTAATCTTTGATATCTACCTTTGAAATGAACACATTTTTCACCTCAAAGTCTTTCTAGGTTGGAATTGCACTTCACTGACTGTATGGAAGAGTCTTTAATACTAGTTATGTTCAACCCCAACTGAATGGATTGAGAAATTGTGGTACATTCACAAAATGGAATGCTAGTAGCACTCAGGAGCAACAATTGAAAAAAATTCTACATCACTTGGGAGACGCTGGAGAGCATTATGCTGAGTAAATTAACTCAGTCTCACAAGGACAAATTATACTTATGACCAATTATTGTAAAATAGAAGGATAACTAATGAAATAGGTATGGAGATCCAAGGGGGGAAAAGGTGGGAGCAGAAGGGATGAAATCGGAGGGTTGCACAATTTGGTGGGTTGAAGGAGAGAATACAGAAAAGGGGAAAGAGGACCTGAAAAGACTGGGTAATGGTGGGCATAGTCTAATAGTGATTAATTTTATAAAATATAATGAATAGGAATGATTGTATGAAACACAATGTGAATGAAGAATAGTGTGAAACACAATGCATACAAACTTTGTAAGGATATCAATAAAGAAAAAAAGTAAGGATAACTAGTAAAACGTGAGGAGGAAGGGGAAGAGGTGGGAGCAGAGGGGTGAGGCTGGGCTAAAAAGAAAAAGATACGTAGTGAAGCATGTAAGAGTAAAAAGTAATGAGACCAGGAATTCAGAATTATTTAATTTTTTAAAAAATCAAATCAAATCAAATCAAATAGAAAAAATAAAGAAAATGTAACAACAACAAAATCATCCACACAAAGGTTAACACAGAAGATCTGAGCAGACAGAAGAAAGTGTCAGTGAACTTGAAAGAGAAAACTTAAATATGGATGTTAATGGGAAAAAGAGAATGAAAGAATGTAAAGAGACTTTTCCCAAAAATTGTAAAATGGCATTGTTTGAGATGATTAAGGACAATAGACTAGGATGAAATTAAGAAGTTGTACTTATGTGGTCAAATGGTACTGTGCTAAATCCTTTTGTGCACATGGGAGCTCTGGTGGCTCAGTGGTAAGGAGTTATGCTGCCAATCCAAAGACACACAGTTTGGATTCACTAACTGTTCTGTAGGGAAAAGATGGACTATCTCCTCCTGTGCAATTTATTGCCTCTGAAAACCCACTAGAAGGTCAGCTATGAGTGGGTTTCAACTTGATGGTACTAGAAATTTCTAATTTAAATGATCTTTTGTCTATTTTAAACTGCTCACAAAAAATAGGATGAGTGAAAAGAGAGAACACAAGACCGGCATAATGTTGACAACTGGTAGAACAAGGTGATGGATACGTGAAGCTTCAAAATAGTGAGGGTTTTTTTCTGGTTTTGTGAATATTTTAAATTTTGAAAAGGAAAATTTTTTTAAAAGTATGGTGGTGTATGAGATTTATTTTAAATGCATTAGAAAGAAAGGATAGAGAATAGGATAAAGTAATCAGAGTAAAATGTCAATGGCAGAATCTGGTTGTGGTGGGTCACTGTATAATTCTTATTCTTTTTTTTAAAATATATTTTTAAAACTTCTTAACAGATAAATATACAAATTTGGAAAAATGTTAAGTCTAGGTTTGGAAAAGTTGAGGGAATCCCAGAACATTTAATTGTTTTCATATGAAATCTATACCTAAACCAAGAAGCTGTTGTCCAAACAGAACAAGGGTGGCACTGTATGGTTTAAAATTAAGAAGGGTGCACTGTACAGTTTAAAATCAAGGAGGGTGCACCCAGGTTTTATGTTGTTCCATACCTGTTCAAACTGTACACTGAGCAAATCATTTGTAAAGTCAAACTCAATGAAAAAGAATGTGGAATTAGGATCAGAAAAAGACTCATCAACAACCTGCATTATACAGATGACACAACCTTGCTTGCTTCAAGTTAGGAGGACCTGAAGTGCTTGCTGCAGAAGATGAAAGACTACAGTCTTCAATACGGATTACATCTCAACATCAAGAAAACAAAGGTTGTGTAACAGTGAATAAATAAAAAAATTTAAAAAGAGAAAACAAAGGTCCTTACCACTGGTTCAATGGGCAGTATCATAAAAGATAAAGGATTGAAATTGTCAACAATTTCATTACTTGGATTCACAGTCACCACCTTTGATATCTGCAGTCAGGAAATCAGGAGATGTATTGCATTTGTTAAGCTTGCTGTTAGGGAATCTCTCCAATACTGAAGAGCAATGATGTCAGTCTGAAGATGAAGGCATGCCTTATTCATGCCATTGACTTTTCAATACTTTTTATGTGTCTGTATAATGATTAAGAGCTGCATAATGAATAAGGATAATAGAAGAACTGATGCCTTTGAGCTGTAGTATTGGAGAAGAGTACTGAATATGCCATGGACAGCCAAAAGAATGAACAGGGAGGGAGCTCTGGTGGCCTAGTGGCAAGAAGCTGTGCTGCAATCCCAAGGTGCGCGGTTTGAATCTACCAGATGGTCCACTGGAGAAGAAAGGGAAGTCTCCTCCTGTGCCTGTCAGATTCAATACGACAGTGCAGAACAAGAAAAAAAGAAAAAAAAAGAGTGAACATGTATATCTCGGATCCACAATCAACACCCGTGGTACCAGCAGTTAAGAAATGAAAAGACATACTGAACTGGATTCTGCTGTGAAGGAATCCTTCAAGGTACTATAGAGCACTTAGTACACAGGTACTTAGTCTAAACCTAAGAAGTGCCTCACTCAGGCCATGGTCTTTCCAATCATTTGCAATGCATCTGGGAGCTAAATAATGAATAAGAATGACAGAAGATATGTGGTGTGGAGAAGAGTACTGAATGTCTCATGGACTGCCAAATGAACAAACAGCTATGTCAGAAGGTGCTACCAAAGTGCTTCTTGGAGGCTAAGATGGTGAAGCTACATCTCACATATTTTGGGTAAATTGTTAGAAAGGGCTCTTTCTTTCTTTCTTTTGGAGTTGCATAAAAGCTTATATATATTGTATTTCATTCAGATACACTTTATTTCACACATTTCTTCAATTACATTGTATTTCATATGATCATTCCCATCTATTGTGTTTCATAAAATTAATTACCATTGGTCTAGGCCCACCATTACCTTGTCTTTTCAGGTTACCACTGGATCTTTCCTAATTATTTCACCTCCCCCGCCTCTCCCACCAAACTCTGCAACACCAATTTCTTCTCTCACTATCCTCAGTTCCCCTGTTCCTTCTCCTTCCTCCCTTGGACGTTCATACACATTTTACCAGTTATCCTTATTTCTTTACAATAACGGTCTCATACATTATTTGTCCTTAGCAGACTGAGTTAGTTCACTCAATATAATGCTCTCCAGTCTCTTGCATGTTACATAGTTTTTTCAAAATCATTGCTCCTGAGTGCTGCATCGTATTCTATCATGTAAATGAACCACAACTTCTCAAGCCATCTGCTTGTTGATGAATATCTTGCACTGTTTCCATGTTATTGTGAATAATGCTGCTATGAATATCAGTATAAAACATCTCTTTGGCCAGTACTAATTTCCTTGGGGTATATTCTTAGCCTGGGCATAGTCAATGAAACATAGACAGACATTCCTCTAGTACTCTCTGCTTTCAGCCAAGATCCATCTGACATTAGCTAAGATATCACAAGTGCCACAACCTCTTCTAAATCCATCCTGCACTTCAGGCAGTTCTCTATTGATGTGCTGTTCTAGTCGTTTTTGGATGATCTTCAGCAGAATCTTGCTTGCATGTGATAGCAATGATATTGTTTGATAGTTTCCACACTCTGTTGGATCACCTTTCTTTGAATGGGAACAAATATAGATCTCTTCCAGTCAACTGGCCAGGCGGGTGTTCTCCAGATTTCTTGGCACAACTTGATAAGCACATCCAGGGCAGCATCTGTTTGTTGAAAT